TTCTCCTTGTATGCAATCCGCTACGTCAACAAACAGCAAACATCAAAGCATGCCATCTCGGGGTATAAAGCGAGATGAATATCTATTGATATATTTTCATTTTTTTTTTGCTCGGGGTATATATTCGAGTATATATCTGTACAATCAGATCAGGCGGTTCAAATTATTTTGACATGAAACTGGTGGGCCTGAGACCAGCTGTAGTGGTCTAGAGGGAGTATGAGTTTTATCAGAACCGCGCGCATGCATGCGAGTGGACAGTTCTATCTAGTAAGATCCGTAGTCTCTAGCTAGAGGCATACAACGTAACTTTATCTTTTTAACATGTAAACTCTGATTTGGAGATTAACTTGTTTTATTTACATAACTTTCATTCACGTGGTCTACGCATTTCTTTTCCAATCTTATCAACTGTTCAAATATTCTTATATGTTTTTCTCTTATCTGATTTGTATATTTATAATACTTAATATGGTAAGTCTCGTATGCGGTCTATATCCGATCCAGAAGTATCGTATGCGAGCCTTGTGATTGGAGCAAAATGGTGTTTTGTGTTTGAGAGGAGAGAGCAAAATGAGAGTGTAGAAAGATAGCCCATAAGGGACGGTGATCGGAAAGGTCAGAATTGACTTGAGTTTTGTTGGATACAAAGTGATCAACAATTTGTTTCACATTTGGACATTGCATCAAGATTTGATGACTATGACCAAACTTTTGGGGCTATAGTGCACAGAGATTGGTCGGTCGCAGTAATTAAATATGTAGTAATTTTGAAAAAAAAGGAAAATTAGAAAAATGAAAAAGAAAATGAAGGTTGGCATATATAGAGCCTAATTAGGACATTGCCCATTTATCTAATTGCGCAAGATATGCCCAAGAGTTTGATCAGCATATTTGTCGATAGAAAAATGCCTTAGGGACCAAAAAATAGGGGACCCTGAGTGGGACAGGTGAGGGTGCCGCCTCCCTGTCCCGGGATGCACTGTTCATGAACAGTGTATCACGGGACAGGGAGGCGACACCTCACCTGTCCCACTCAGGGTCCCCTATTTTTGGGTCCATGTATAATAAGGCCTTATGATCGAATATTTTCTTAGTCTCGAAACGACATAGGTGCTGCGCATGACAAGCATAACAAAACAACTGCAAAATATCATAGTTAATATACTTCATAGGCCGGAGAGCCGAAAGAAAAGGAGCCTGAACTGATTTAATATCCTGGAGCGAAGTTTCCCCCCACTGCATCTTAACTCGCCTAACTCGCCTATTATTGTCTTGTACGTAGATGGACTTCACTTTTTCATAGTATTTGACGAGTTCAATTTTGGCGCGCTTCCAATTTCTCCTACAGTCCTACTCCAACTTCAAAATCCCCTACAAAACATTACGCACAAATTTTGAAAATGCTTTCTTCTCGCTTTTATTTTCCAAAAATGCTCTTTCAATTCTTTTAACATTCTATATTATTTTTCAACATCCAAACACATGCTTAAGAATTTATAATCTACAGACACTTGACGTATGGAGGCCCATGTTGGCATCCATACTATGAATACCTTCTACCTAGCTCATTGCCTTGGTCAACCTTAACAATTAATGTTTTACTCCTTTTTTTTTTTTGGTATTTGACCTGCACTCTTCTGCAGACATGCGTTTTTCCAATAAAATTTGTGTGCAGTCAAAATGTATTTGGAAACTTCAATGACTTTGTCTTGAACTTATTCACTTCCGAGCCATTGGTTAGGCTCCGTTTGGTTGGAGACTGAGGAGCTCGAAAGCTGCCACAGCAGTCCCATATGTGGTAGCTTTAGAGGCGTTTTTGCCCGAGACGTTTTTGCCCGAAAGCTGCCACAGATGAGACTGTTGTGGCAGCTTTCGGGCTCTTTCCCACCCAAAAACGAAGAAACAAACAGCCCCTTACTCTTCAACCAGGATGTAAGTTGATTTAGAGTGACTAAGGAAAATAATTGAACAGAGTTGCACAGAAAAAACATTTCGGAAGAGATATCCAAACGTGACATGTGTTTTTGTCGGTTTTAAAATTGATGATTGCGAGTTTACATACTAATTGCATTAATTGAGGATTTAGCTTGCTATATTGATCGTACTGATTTAAAATCGACCCTAAATTTCTTATAGCGTCCTCGTTGCTCTCTGTGTGAGTGTGACATTCCTTAGATGGGGATGATATGGTATGAGTAATAAAGCGACATTGACAGCTAGCTACCAATGTAGTTGAGTATTTTTCATGTTTATAGGGTGAGCTAACTGAAACCCTGTCCTTTTCTTATGACCAAGCCTTAGCACAAGGAGCCACTTAAAGTTTGTTAGAGCATGCAAACTACTAAAATGAGAAGCTACACAAATGATTTTTGGATGATAAGTGTTATCATTGGTGTGATTCTCAGTTCAACATGGCTATCTTCAGCGAAGCAATAGGATATGAGAGCAATTTGGAGATTTTCGTTGTCCCCTGAGATATCGTTTGGCAAAGGGTTAAGTGAGGGATTAAGGTGACTTAACCCCTTCTTAACCCGCCAAACACAAAAAATCTATATAAGGGTTAAAGTGAGTTAACCCTCCATAATTTGTCAAACATAAAAAATATAGAAGAGTTAAACTAACCCCTCTAGAAGGATTAAAATGAGTTAACCCCTTAAAATGAGGGGTTTACTAATACTCCTATTTAGAAGGATTAAAAGCTAATCCTTCTGATTATAAAGAAAATAATCAAAATTATTGTTATTCCCAAACATCACAAGGGCTAAAATAAAACTTATTTAACGGGTTAATAATTTAGTCCTTCCAGATTATCGAATGTGCTAAATACATTAATCATTCTCTTTAACCCTTCTTCCTTAACCCTTTACCAAACAGGACCTGAATGACTAAGAACAATTTGCTCGTATGCGTACTGTTCTGATAAATTTTGTGATCTGGATTTACCTTCGTCAGAGAGTTTAGTTGCAATTTAAGGCCTTGTTGCTTAATAGATGTAAGTAAAAATTTATACCTCAACCTTCTATTTTTGTGTAGGGACTATAGAGACTGTTGATATATAACCAGATATATTAAAGAAGAGATTATAATTAGAGGTGGTTTAGGAAGTACATCATCTCTCTGTACTCTCACAGTCAGAGATGTGGTGGCTTGCCTTCGTCATGAAGAATACCAGGGAGGCGTATGTAGATATCCATTTATTATTTTGGTTGGAAAATGAGAAGATAGTTGGGGAACCGCGCATCTCTCCATGATGTTGTACCAAGTATTGCTATGATATTATTAGGTTCTCTATGATAACCGTAGTATAATTTAACGTATTCTTATTTTCCAAAAACTTGGGTTATTTAGGTATCAGTCCCTCAATTTCTAAGAGCATCTCCAACAGCTTCCCCAAAATTTTCTCCAAAATGGAGAAACAAAAGTCATATTCTTCAAATTATTTTTGCTCCAACTCCAACAGCTTCCCCATTTTGAAAAATCGCATTTATTACAATAATAAAGTTCTCCCCAAAAATTTGGAGAATGCTGCAGATTTGGGGAAGGCTCCCTATTTTTTCTCATTCTTCCCTATTTTGGGAAATGATATGAGGAATCTGTTGGACAAAAAAAAAAGCTCTATATTCCCCAAAATTGAGTATTTCAAGAAGATGGGGAAGCTGTTGGAGATGCTCTAAGGGGTCTTGCAATTTAATTAGTCCCCTCGATGATCAAATTAAATAAACCCCCTTTTATATTCCCCCCACACCCGTCTAAAAACCCAAGAAAATAAGGTTAATTGATGAGAAGTTGTCTATTAATTGTAGAAGGTTTGATTGAGAGGTATATATAAAGATGAATAATTAATACTAACTAGACTATAATCACACTGCTAGCTTTTTTTCTACAAGAAACAAATCGCATGGTCCTTTTTCTCGAGGATCCCAATCAAAATCTATAAGTAATCAAAGAATCCCACACTTTCGTTTTCACAACAAATAATTAATACTATGAATAATTTTTTCTCGATGAATAATTAATACTATGAATATTTTTTTTTTTACCTTCTCTCTTTTTAAGGATAAACGTGCTATCCTAGTCTCTTACCCCTCTCATAATTACGGCTGTCATCTTCCTTGTACACACACACACACCTGTGTGGTTGTATACAGTGTCCCCAAGAAAGATAAAGCTAGTGACACTCCAACCATCAATACAAGTGGCATTAATAGCCGAATAATTAATTACCCCCCACAATTTTTTTGAGTCCAAAAAGTGCGACCTCGATCTAGCTGTCGTTCTCCAACAGCTTCTCTAAAATTTTCTCCAAAATAGAGAAGCAAAAGTTATATTCTTCAAATTATTTTTACACCAACTCCAACAGCTTTCCTATTTTGAAGAATCTCTTTTTTCCTCCAAAAATTGGGAGAATGTTGCAGATTTGGGGAAGCTTCCCTATTTTTTTCTCCTTCATCCCTATTTTGGGGAATGAGATGGGGAATCTGTACGTTAGAGCAAAAACCTAACTATATTCTCCAAAAGTGAGAAATGGGGAAGCTGTTGGAGATGCTCTTAGGACTCTCGAATCGCCGGATCAAGGCTTTGACATCAACCAGAAGCCAGTGAGGGAATTCAAAGCAGAGATGTGGGGGTTGAGGGTGCGTACGTAGTTTAACTGTTGCATTAAATTGGGGGCCACCAACATCCGCCCGACCCTCATCAATGAAATATTGAAATCTGTCGATCAAATCCAATCCAATCCAATCGCCTCCTCAAAAGGTTCGGATCTCTCCACCGTCTACAAAAATGGTCTATGAATTATTACTAGGTGTTAGCTAGAAACACAGCAGCAATATATATATATATATTGACAAAATAAGAGCGAAAAATTAAAATGAAAATAATAAGGCGAATGAACAAAGAAAAAAGAAAAGAAAAAAAAGACGCACACAAAAAAGAGTTACCATAGAAGCTGTAAATTTAGTTTTTTTTTTTTGAGAAAAAAGATGGAATACCCCAAAAAGGTATTCCAGCCAGCTAAATTAAAAGATAAAGTGGTTGTTACAAAAAAAGTACCCCAAAAAGGTATTCCAGCCAGCTAAATTAAAAGATAAAGTGGTTGTTACAAAAAAAGTTCATACTCCCAACCACAAGAGTATGTACTAAAGTTCAATTAAAAGATAAAGTGGTTGTTACAAAAAAAGTTCATACTCCCAACCACAAGAGTATGTACTAAAGTTCGAAGCTGTAAATTTAGTTTTGCCTCTAAACCCCTAGCTAGTAACAAAAATGATAACCCATCTCGTCAAATGAACTTCCATGAGATGGAAATGAAATGCAATGTGATTCATGCTATGGTCTCACTTCTTTATCTCTTGATGGCTCATTTAAAAAAAAAGCAAACATCTCATAATGATCAAACCCTAATATTTTTACTCAGGATAAATTAGAATATCCATTAAGGATTAAGTAATTACGCTTCCAAAAAAACCTCATAATGTCTTAGTTAGAGAATGGAAAGGATCCTGATCCATACTCACAACAGTTGAGGTATGTAGATCCTCTCCCCTCAAATAGTTGTACGTTGTTGTGGTTTGTAACGTGGTTTTCAAGATAATCGCAATTTTTAAAAAAAAATAATTTTATATTCATTAAAATTTATAGACACAATAAGAATTGAGGTTCCTTATTCTGTTCAATTACTATTTAGTAAGAATATATTAAGAGAAAAATGATACATGCACACCCTCAGACACACCACCAACCACACACCCTCTCTATCTACAGTGCAGGGGGCCCCACATCAGATTTTTTTAAAAATCTGATGTGAGGCCCCCTGCACTGTAGATAGAGAGAGGGTGTGGTTGATGGTGTTCCTGAGGGTGTGCATGTAGCGCCTCCCATGTAAAGAAGACGGACCCTGTGTATCCTCTCCCTACTCCTTTGCGCTCTCTCTCTCTCTATCATACTACACACGTAACACACATTACACACTCAAAACAACACACATCTCATTCTCCACCCCACCCCCCACCCCCACCACCCCCGCCCCCTAACCAACTGCCTCTCCTCTTCATTACTTCCTCAAACCCACCCTCTCCTCTCCCCTGCTTCCTCTCTCCTCTCTTCTTTATAAGACCCGCTCTTCCTCTACCTCTCTCCCTCCCCAAAACCCAAACCCCAAAAAAAACGGTGTAAAAGAAAAAAAAAAAAAAGAAAAAAAAAATGAAAAAGAAAAATGAACCAGCAGAGGCAAGACGACCCAGAGTCAAGTATCACTCGACCTGGAGGTCCAACAGTCCTCCCTTCAAACGGCCGGCACGCGGCTGAGAGTCGGCATCGGCCTACACCGCTGGAGCGCAGACGCTTGTGGAGCGGACAAGGCCGGACGGTAGGGCTCATCGGGGAGTGTGGCGAGGCCTGACGTGGAAGCAGCTACATGTGGACGGTGACGCGTGGGAGCGGCGAGACGCAGAGCCGCTGCCTCGAGGGCTCACCGGCCACGCTGAGCCGGGAGCCTGACGGCGCTTCATGGGCCCCTCCGGCTCGGGGAAGTCGACCATGCTTCGACTCTGCTGGGGGCGGCTGGCGACCCAACGCTTCATGTCCGCCAGATCTGCTCAACGGCCAGAGAGGACCAACGCTGTCCTTCGGAACCGCGGTGCGTATTTACGTCGATTATACGTGACTTTGGGCTATAACGTAATTTTGCTTCGGTAGTTTTCGGCCATCGCGCCTTGCGGAAAATTTAGCCCGACCCCCCTGAATTTTTAAGCCTAACCTTCGGGGGGGCTTGTCACGAAATCCAAACGTCTTCGGGATTGCCAACCTATTTTAAATTTATTTATGAGAATCGACCCACTTTGAGTTAATTACGGTATTAATTAGTTGGGGTTGCCAACCCCGACTAATTAGTAGCCTAATTACAAGCGGGGTCAGGAAATATGGAAG